TAAAGGGAGGAATCCCATATGGCAAAAATAATAATAATAATAATAATAAAATAAAACAAATAAATAATAAAATAAAATAAAAATCGTAAACAGTGAAGCTCAATGAAATATACTTCGAAATTAAAAATATATTTACTTTCAAACTTCATATAACAAAACATATTTTAATATGTTTTTCATGGGCAAGAAAATACATGTAAAATATTTTAGGTTTTATTCATTACATATTTTTATTTAAATGTGCATTATTTTCCACACGTTTTAGATGATAATTTTTTTTTTCTTTTTCATTTTTTCTTCAAATGTTACATGTGAATATATTATACTTTATATGGAGGGCAACATTTACTTTCGCCTATCTATCTATCTATCTATCTATCTATATATATATATATATATATATATACACACACACACACACAGTCAAACCAAAAATTATTCAGACACCAGATATAATTTTTTTACTTTGTTTTTTTACTAGTGGGTGCGGGACACTAGTTCATTTATGTAAGTGAGGATAGCAAAATAAAGTAAACTGTGACATATTATACCCAAAACTTCTTCATACAGTGGGCTACCAGTAAATTGATGAAAAATTTAGGACCAAAAATTTTATTTGACACTTTGACCTAACCATGTTTTGTTACATTCCTTTCTATCAAAGTTATCTAACATTATGAAGATGTATTTGTTCTGACACAGTTTAACTCTGAGTTCCTGTCATATTTTATAACCATTTTCTAAACTATAGCGAAAAACTACAGCTGTGATAATGTGAGAAATGTTGAAGGTATCTGAATAATTTTTGATTTGACTTTATAAAATGTATTTATTTATTTATTTGTTTATTTTTATGCACTGTTGTCTGCTTGAAATTAAAGTTGGATAGAAATCTTAAACTATAAAAAAAATAGCATTTTATTTTAAAACAGCAAACAAGTTATAAAAATGTTGAATACATAAAAGGTGGTATACTCATTGAACAAACAGACAGTGTGTGTGTGTTACTTTCAAGAAGTACACTCCTTTTTTCTTGATTTTTTTTTACATTCAGTTGAAAGTAAATGTTGAGTAAATGTTATACTGTATCTGCTGATCCAGGTGACACCAGTTCTGTCATTTAACATGAGTTAACATGAATGCAATTTAAAGGATTAAAGGTGCCACCAAACAATAACAATAATATTACTCATAATATTATAATTACTGGCATTTGGTGAGAAATATCTTTGTTAATTTCTGACTTGAGTCAAATGCATTTGGCATTCTGGTCATTCAGACTGTGGCCTAATAATAATCCACTTACAACATCTGAATCTCATATTCAGCATACTTTATTTAAAATTACAATTATGATATGGGTATCTACATAGACACACACTGATGTTAGCTTGCACACTGCAGTGTAATTTTGGAACACTCTACTAGCCTGTTCTGGAACCATTGATATACAATATTCTAGTTTCAGAACTGACATTCTGTCTCATCCTCATTATGCAGATGTCTGAACATCAGCACGGGAAGCTGGAGAGAGGGAGGGAGAGCGAACAAAAGCCATTTAATCAGCCTTTGAATAAAAAGAAGAGTACTCTCATGTTTTTTTTTAACAAATATTCTTTCTTCTATACCAGTGTCAGAAATTAACATATATAAACAGAGTGGGTATCCATTTATCTCAAAAACAAATTAAATTGTAACTGAAATTCTAACTATAGTGTCTGAACCCATACAAGCCTAGAATAGAATATTATGAATTCAAATATCAGATAAAAAAAAAAAGAGTTTTTTGCCCCTGACATCTGTGCATTTTTTTTCACCAAGCCTTGGTTAATTTCTGACCCTGTTGTATTCTGTCATATGTCATATAAAAACTCTATCTGGACTGGTCTGATTTGATGATTGTTGTGATTGGCAGATGCCGGTGCCAGTGACTGGGTGAAACGAAAGCTAAATCAGCATATTCGCAATAAACATAGGTTAGAAACAATAAAAACCTGACAAAACCTGGATCTAAGGTTGCATTTTAATTGTGGAATTGGAGTCATTTATATTTTCTGTTGTTTAGGAAATTGGAAAGTCAGGATCTAACCCAGCTCCGTGCATCAAACATACCTGAATCGCATTATTTGGAGGAGGACAATCCATTAAGAAGAACAGGTGACACACATGTACACATTCACACAAACATGTGAGCTTGTACACGTACACATGTCCTTGAAATGCATAGAAATCTGAGAAATTATTCACATGTTTATACTTGAAGCACATTTGTGTTTGTGCATGTTTGTGAGAAGCCTCAGAGCCAATCCTGAAGCTGCGACCAAAGAGAAGTGCATCAGGAAGACAGAACCCACTCCAGCGTAAAACCAGTGCGCCCCCTGCTGTCAGAGCATCTGACTCTATGGGTGTGTAATAACACTGTGCTAAAATCAACTAAAGCAAAGATATAATGAAATTGTTTGCTGTGAATTCTTTTGTAATTTTGTTCCATGGTCCTTCAGACACTGTAGTGACCAGGTATGTGTATTTTGTAGGGGGAGCCTCCAGTTCTACTCCAGTATCTTTAAAAAGTTCAGCAGCAGATACAAAAATGAGCCATCAAGAGCCACAGACCTATAGCACATCATCACCACAACGGGTCTGTTACTGGACTCTCATTATATATATTATCTCTCATATGAGTAAAGGATGTTTTAGGAGTCAGGCAGCATTTATTTATTTATTTTATTTTATTTTACAAAGCTTTTTTGTGATGGTGTTGTTAAAGTAACCAAAGGTTATTTATTATTGTATTATTTTATGTTAATTATGGGATGGATTGGATGGAGTGTTTTGAGTGCCTATTGACTAAAATGTTTTTTAAATCGATACTTTGTTCATCAGAGGTTCTCAACTGTTTCGACTTGAAGGCCCCTATTGTCCCTACACAATATTTTAAGGCCCGCCATACTGGCTAAGATATCTTCTGTAATTATGAAAACATGCTTGTTTTCAATTTTTTTTTATTAACAGAAACGTCTCAGGTTACTTATGTAACCATGGTTCCCTGAGTAGGGAACGAGACACTGCGTCCTCTAGGGGTCGCTATGGGGAACACCTTGTCGTGACCCGTGTCTGAAGCATACATTGAAAAAACACACACTCGTTGGCCGACGACAGCCATGACGTCACTACCGGTGCGACTATAGTATAAATAAGCGCCGGGAGCTACACATCATTCACTTCTTCGTCTGAAGCTTGCGTCCGCAGCATGGCAAGAAACCTAGAGGACGCAGTTTCTCGTTCCCTACTCAGGGAACGGTGGAATCATA